ACTCAATTGTTGGCAATTCTAGACGTTATAGCGCAAAACAAAGACCACCATTGGACTCCCCGTGACGAGCTGCATCGAATTAATGCCCATTTTATGCAAAAATGTCAGGTTTGAAATTTGACCTCATTTGACCTGACCTTGACCTGAACTTCACCAGAGCATAACCTAAACTGGCCCCAAATGCTGCCTGACCCATATAATCGCATTTGTCATGTAAAATGGACCATAAAACATGCATCTCATGATGTTTTCGTATTTTGACTCTCAGTGACCTGACCTCTGTGACCTGACCTGGTAAAGTGGCCTATGTGTTTTATAAGCAATTCCCCATCGTTGATTTGTGATAAGATGCATTTGATTCGATTTTACAACGCATTTCTTAAAATGCCAGTAAACGGTGAAAATTCGACATTATATGTGACATTACCTGTGACGTCATCAGTTAGACCGAGGTCAACGAAATTGGGTCACAAGGCTATCCAACGCCGTTTGCCGCTAGTCGCTATATTGCGTGGTTCTCGAGATCTTAGGGGGGCAAAATGCCCCCCCCCCCATCAGGCCGCGTTGCTCGGTAGATTTCATCACGGCGCGGGTTAAGTGTACTTCAAAAGTTAAGCACAACTTAAGGAAAACTTAAGTCTTAAGAATGTTCTAAATGCTTAATATTGCATATCATTCGACTCGGCTGTTCAAGAGGAACAGAATTATACCATTTTGAAAGTTTTATCATGGATGAAGGAGAACCTGGATTGGAAACTAACAGCTGATTGCGTTCCCTTCGGTAAGTGCCCGAGGGCACGCGCGGCAGCAGCGGGACCCGCTTCTGCCGCGCATTCACTGGCGCCGCGTAAGCGTTCATTGGCGCCGCGTAAGAGAAAAACACTAGAAATGGCCCTCTTTTTCAAGGTCGCCTGTATTCGGCCCTCGTGTGCGACTTTTGTGCGGAACGGAAAATAATAGTTTTGATCTCATTCGATAGCCTGATCAATTTTGTCTGTCTTAAATAGCTTCTAAACCTAAAAATGAATCCGCATTGCGGTCTAATACCCGTTTCAAAACATGCCGCCCGCGTCCCCCATAGGCCGTAATGCTTAACCCGCGCGGGGCTGGGGGGGGGGGTAAATTTTACCCCCCCCCCTCGCGAATTTTTGCGATATCTCAAAAACGGCGGCGCGCAGCGCCGCCAAACTTTCAGTACCTTTTCTTACATCAATTTGACACGTTCCCTGAAAATTTGAGCGAAATCCGTCGGAAAATATTTGAGAAATTGACGTTTTAGTGACGTCATGTTCGCCATTTTCGCCTCAAAAACGGCAAAAGTTGAAACGCCGCTAACATCTTCATTTTTAAAGGAATCAAGACGTAACAAAAAAGGTTATACGTAATTTTACTTTGTCTATCAAATGGCTATCTCGGTTTTTAGAAAATTTTGGATTTTGGCCTAAATTTTTTCAAAAAACTGACTTTTTTGGGAAAATCATTATAAAATCCAAAATTTTGAGTCTATCGAAAAAACCGGAATATATGTCAGAGAAGTGGTCTATGTGCACCTACATACCAAATTTTAGAAGAATCGGTTCAAAAATGTGGGAGTTATTCAAAATTTTATGACGTCACGACACACAAATTTTTTGAAAAATGACTTTTTTGGAAGTTCTAGACCTCGTACGGAAACAAAAATAGCACCATTCGATTCGCCGTGAAAAACTGCATCAGATAGATATCTTTTTAGGCCTTAACAACCAACTTCAAAATTTGACCTCACTTGACCTGACCTTGACCTGACCTCGACCTGAAATTCATCCAGAGGTGGTCCATATCACTTATTGAGTGTGCCTATTGAATTCTATGAGTAAAATGACCCATAAAACATGTGTCACACATGCCCTTTTCTATATTTTGTTTTTTGGTGACCTGACCTGACCTGACCTGACCTTGACCTTGACCTCTGAATGATATTGTATGCAACTAATATTGTCTTGGTAGCCTAAGAACACGTTTTGGGCGATCAGTCTCAGTCCATGACTCCATTCTTCGGCAACTACGGTGCAAGGCCGATACTGTAGAAACTTGCAATTTGTACCCTTGACCTGACCTTGACCTTGACCTCAAACTTTAAATTAAGTACATTTTTTTAGTAGTTCGTGATGAGAGCTTTCGATTGGCGTTTGAATTTTCCAAATCGGACCATTAGTTCGGGAGATAACAGGGGGGGTAAAATTTACCCCCCCCCCCCCAGCCCCGCGCGTTCGGCTGGAGACCCCAGCCCCGCGCGGGTTAACGGCGGGAGTATCCAATACTTACCGAACGCTAGGTGGCAGGCCGATCGCCCGGAACGCTACCCGTAATGTTGAAGGAATAGGAGTGTCCTATCCAGGTTCTTTCATCCATGGTTTTATCTTTATTATGTGACAAGTTATTGGCACAAACGTTAGTTGACCTCAGTTGACCTCATTTGACCTGACCCATGGATGATTACATCAAACAAAGAAGCACCAAGTGCCATAATGTTAAAGGTAGTGTGCCAGCTTTCCTGGACCATATGGAGTTAATGACCCGGATAAGGAGAACCGGATTTTTAGAACTTATCCATACCTTCAAAACTCATGGAAACGTCTTAAATTCTTCAAATTTTGAGTACCTCAGTGCGAAATTCGCCCCGACGGGTTGTCGGTCGTACCCTAACCACATTTCACACCACTATGAACAATAGGAATGCACACACTAAAATCGCTATTACCGATAGGCTCATCCAATCAAGTTTCGATAAACCCGTTCATCATCATCTCCTGCGGTTTCGAACACGCCTGTTAGGTGGCACTGGCTTCTGCTCATACTTTATGTTGCGGTGGTGGTGCGTCGGGCCGCGCGCTCTGACTTCGGCCAAGAAAAATGCGTCAGCTGATCATTGTCATATCTGCCACTTTTGTGTGGTGAGATGGGGTCATAACCTAAGAGACGGCTGTTTCATATCAATTATTTTACATAAAATCATATTTCAAACCATAAATTAATGTTCGACAGCCAAATTAACCCGCGCCCTGCTGGGGGGGGGTGTTTGAACACCCCCCTTGTGGTTTTTCGCGAATATCTCAAAAACGGCGGCGCGGAGCGCCGCCGTTTTTGGTACACCTTATCATACATCAATTCTACACATGTTGTTAAAATTTCAGACCAAGGTCATTCAAGGTCAGGTCACCAGGTCACTTGAAGTGACCTCACCTCATAAAAAGTTTCAATGTCTGTCATAGCTACACCGAGTGAACGATCGCTTTGAAACTTTCAGCGATTGCTAAGAGCAATAGCATGTACAAAATGTTTATCTCAGAATTTTGATATCGATGACCTAAGGTCAGGTCAATTCTGCGACCTCCCCATTATAAGTCAATGGGAGAAAATTGAAATGCGCCTCTTTTGGACAAAAGACAATATAAACACTCCCAAACACCGAATTACAAGTGGTTTAGACACACTGAACATGAAAATGGTGTCCGTGACCCATGCTTATGCCCTGAGGTCATCTTAGGTCACGAATGGTATCTAACAGTTTTTCGCAAATAACTTTTGATAGAGGCATGCTAGAGCGATGAAAACGCCTTAGATGTGTTCAGCTCGACGATACGGATCGACTGATATGCAACATGACCCTTTCCGGTCAGGTCATGACCTTGACCTCAGGTCAAATTTTCAAGTTGACCTTTCAAGGTCAACTTATAGTTCATTCGATGCGTCTTGACGAGAGGAACACAATGCCGGTAAAAGTAAGCTCGTACAAGGCTTGGGTCAAAAGTTATTGCAGAAAAACTGTTTCCGAAAAAAATCAGCTATTTTTGCAGTTTTTGCCCCCTGCAGGCAAAACCGTTGACGTTAGGTCAAATCTGAGAGGATTACTCAGAAAGGGCTTTAATAGGGCTATCGAATGCACTTTTCCGCGGCGCTGTAGCTCTATTGGTTCTCGAGTTATGCCATGGCTTCTTGGAAATTTTTGACATTAGACCTGGAAATCGGCGAAATTTTGCCTTCAATGACCTCTGGTGACCTGACCTTTGACCTGACCAAAAAATTGACCGAAGTGATTTCGTCATTATTTTTGACGCTCTTTCGAACGCCGCCTTCCGCGTATCGCTACGTGGCCCAGGAGCCGAGTTACAAGGGGGGGTGTTCAAACACCCCCCAGCAGGGCGTGGAAATCCAGGACCCCCAGCCGGGCGCGGGTTAAAGAAACAATACCAATACAGGCTCAGTTTAACCCGCGCCCCAGTGGCGGTCTCCGCCAACTTCGCCCTAGTGAGGGGGGGCATACCCAGCCAGCAATTCGGTTGGGGAAAGTACGGGGACAGTGTTGGGGAAAGCTTGGGGAGAACGTACAATTCCCCTATCGGATCGGGGAACGGTCCGTGTTCCCCATCCCTTCCCCGACTGTATCGGTAATATGTTCAAAAGACATGGGGAAATCACACCGATCCCCGTACGGGGAAAGAGCAGCATTCCCCAATCAAACCCCACTGTTGGGGTTCGGTCGGGTAAAAGATCAGATTCCCCGTACGGGGAAGGGTGCGTTATCCCCGACCCATTTTCAAGAACAGTTTGATTGGGGAAAAGTAGGGGAACTGTTGAAATTCCCCGCTCGGGATTTTACACTTAATCCCCAGACGAATCCCAACCGCCAGTAGGACGTCTTGAGATCGACTTCCAGCATGTAATATAACAAGTATTCAATAAAGAAAAATTGAATCTTGGGAATGTTAAAAGCAGTCTTAGGAGCAGTTCTAGAGCTATAGGCTCATGCATCGATTGAAGGGAGATATAATAAATAAAAAAATATAACGATATAACGATTTTTTATAATCGTTTTCATGACAGGTGATCTGGCGAATGCATCAAACGGTGACCAAATTTGCACCAAATCTCTTTTTCATATCTTCATATCATATACCTATTTATTTCAGTGTTTTAATCGAAAATAATGTCTGATAATTTTATCAAATCAGCACCGTATCTGGACCAAATGTCTACCAATTGTGTACCAGTTACCTATCATGAAAACGGTTATTCGCAGACATTTGATTGTAGACATTGGATCTATGTAATTTTCGACCTAAAAGAGAGGAAAAGCCGTCTTGGTTTACGGGGCCCGCTAAGCCGTGTGGATGAGGACACGCATAGGCCATTACTTTGAACGAACGTTGGTGCCCTTATTTCATGAGGTAAAAACAACTTTGACAACTTTCAGGATCTATGTTTCTTCTCGCACTGCTGTGGCATAAACATTACGTTTTCTTTCTTCTGTCATCACTCATCGCATTGAAATTACAAAAGCATCAAAATTTCAACAACACACTGCTTACGACTTAGAAGTGTCGCCTCAACGCAGCGAGGGGAGGGGAGGGAGGGGTAGCAACGGCCGGCCGCCGTCGGTTCCGTCCGCACATCTGGTTGAGGGGCGTCTCCTGTCGCCATCTGTCATCGTGAATGGGGCCGTGCCGACGCGTCAGACGGGACGAACGGGGGAAGTCGGTCCAGAGTCACTGCGCCGCGCGGTTGTGTGAGCAAGCCGTGGGCTAGGTACCGCTCCAGGTCAGACAATGGTTGGCACTGAAGAGTGCGGCGACACTACAGAGCTGTGAACGAAGACGGTGAACGGCGAGATGTGGTGACCGCTTGACTGACCTCTGCCCAAAGTCGTGATCTACCGCTGGGGTCAGTGCGTGAGAAGCTGGACTCGGCACCAACGGAGGACGCAGCTCGACGAGGAAGATATGCTGTGTTGGTAATGAACTAAAGCACTTAATTGTAACGAATCCATGATAGATATAAAATGACGATGATACTCACTTAAATTTATTGTAAAAGACAAAGCTTCCGATACACACAATATCTTGATCACTGTCTAGGGTATGCAGAATATGACGTAAAAATGACTGAGGTCATCAACCTCCGTCTGAGATTATCCTTAAATTGCCCGGACAATATAATGTCATCAGCCTAATGCTTTATCTGCTTCTGTTCTAGAGGGACGTCTGCCGGTTACGGCCGGAAGGCTTCCGACGGGACTTGGCAGAACCCACAACAGCAGCATGAACCCGGCGTGGAGTTAATGCGTAATTGCTCGCATGAGCAACCGAAGAGCGACTTCCAAGCGAAGCTGGTAAGCAGTTTATGGGGGTGGGGGTTAGCTTAGAGCTGTTGAACAACATGTCCTTCACCCAAGTCTAAAGGCTGAGACACACTCTTTCTACAGCCAGAAAATCTCATGCGAGAGCCCATTAATTAAATACATGAAATCACGATCGCTTACAGGGATGTGCGAACGATTGACGCGATTGTAATGAATACATGTATTTGAAAAGGCTTTCGCATTCCACTTTTTTTTTGTCTTCGGAAAGAGCCTGCTTCAGCAGCTCTACTAGACAGCTCTGTTTGTGAAAGGGACTTCATTGTTATCTTGATAAACTAGCAACCGATTTTAATTGTCGAACGGCGTTCATTTATCTGTCAACTGCTTTCACGAGGAACTTCGTAAGGCGTAATATAGGCGTAAAACATTTATTACCTAATGACTTTCCTGGAATGAGAAATGTTTAGAAGTACGAATTTAATTATTGAATTTTTATTTCCTGTTTTAATTAACTATTCAAAGTATATCACATTCATTTTTTAAGCACTTTTCGTGGGAAAAAAGTTATAAATAAGTGTAATTTCATAAAATGGCATTCAACATTTTTCAGCGTAAGCTGAAGTTTCCATAAAAGGACATTGCATGTAGTAGCTAGCTGTAAACCCTGATTGATATACCTACAAGTGCACATATTTTTGTTTTTGTCCACAGCCGCAGAATTCCTGGAGATGCGCTGGGACATGGATCATAGCAAGGTGGCTCTCAGCGGCAGCTGACCGCTGAGATGTGTCTGAAACAGCCAGAAGGAAGACTCGAGCTGTGGATCCAGGGCACTTCTGAACGGAAGGCCGGACCAGCTGTAGGGAGACTACAGAAAAGCCGTCGTTCTCAATCTGCTGAACAGACTCCTACTGCAGAAGATCAACTGGGGTTCGACATGTTAGAACTGGGGTTAGACCGGTTACCAGTGCTCGTGTTCGTCACCTGTTGTTTGTCACTGCTGCGCTGCTGCTGTAATTTTTGCTACCTGCTAAGCGTTCACAATGTATTTTAAGTGAATAATAACTTTTTTAGTGTTTGTCTTGATTTGTAACGAGCATATCAATTATCAAGCATGTTAACCTTTCATCAAATGAAGGACTCCACATAAAAATAGTATAGGCTGTGGTGGTACAGACACATACCATGCTTGGCCGATTGTTGTGCATTGATCTAGTCGTTGAAGCGTCCTGAAAGTCTGGAAATAAACAGGCATGGCCAAATGGATTGGTTCTAATTATTTTCCTGTGTGGTTTTATCGTTTCCCTATTGCGGGGAAACAAGTGGACAATTTTGTTTGTATAAAAACAAGTATGTTTATACAAATATTTGTATGTTTACAGACAAAATAAATAGTCATTGTCAATTTTAATGGGACCCGATTTGTTTCCCAGTGCGGTTTTTTTTACTGGCTTCTCCGTACGGGGAAAAAAGCAGACAAGGCAGTAGGGCCATTGCCAAGTCGGGGAACGGCCGGGGCTCGCGCGGGGAAAAGGTCTGGGAACGTTAGGGGAAAATCACGGTTTCCCCGATCGGGGAAGGTCTCCAGTAAGTATAAGCCCGTATAGTCGGGTGGGGGAATGTGCGGGGCTCGCACAGGATCTTCTTGGGGAAAATGTTCGATAACCCCGTACGGGGAACCGACCTTAACAACGGGTTTTAACCATAGTCGGCGCGGGGGTAGCCTGGGGGACGTTTGGGGAACGCTTGGGAAGTTATACCGTTTCCCCGTACGAATCCCGCACAAAGTTCCCCGTACAAAGTGTCTCAAATCCCAAGCGAACGCTCCGTTTTCCCCAAGAGAACGGTTGGGGTTTCCCCGAGCCTGCCCCAAGCTCGCCATAGGCCTTCCCCGTACGGGGAAAGCTCCGATTTGCTGGCTGGGTATGTTACCACCCACCTCTAACTCAAAAACTAAGAGGGCTAGAAAGACGCAGTAAAAAGCAGTCGATAGCTCTTGATGCGTACGTTTGAAAGTATTTCGGTCATTTTTCATCTTAGAGCAATATTGGGGTCACCAGAGGTCATCAAAGGTCAAAATTTGCGAATTGTCATTATATTTTTCAGAAAACATGCCATTATCTCAAGAACTATGATAGCTAGAAAAACGCTGGGAAAAGCAATCGATAGCTTTTGAACTCTTCTTTTGATAAGGCCATTATCAAAAATGACCTCAGGTCAACGGTTTAGCCTCCAGACGGCAAAAACTCCAAAAATAGCTGTTTTTAAGAAAAGTGTTTTTCGACAATAACTTTTGACTACAAAAAGCTAGGTCATTTCTAATGCCAGAGTCGTGTTCCTCTCGCCGAGACGCGTCGAATGAACTATAATTTGACCTTGAAAGGTCAACTTCAAAATTTGACCTCAGGTCAAGGTCATGACCTGACCGGAAAAGGTCATGTTGCATATCAGTCGATGCGTCTCGGCAAGACAAACACAATGAGGCTAACCCCAGCGTTCTATCTCTTTCCAATCGAGAGTTATTGGCAAAAAAAACTGTTTGTAGCCTCAAATGACCTCGGATGACCTTTCAAGAGGCTATCAGCAAAAAAGACACCTTGGTCGTCACGGGTGGTCCAAATCATTGTTATCCTGAAATATTTGGACTGTTCCTATGCGTACACACGGATCTAGAGGCATTTTCGTTTTTCTCCATTGACTTATAATGGAAAGGTCACGCCACTGACCTGACCTTAGGTCACGCATATAAAAAATCCGAGATATACAAATTGTAGGCACCCATAACGTCATGTAATCCACCAAGTTTGAAACCTCTCTGACAAACACTGCAGGCTGGACATGATTGCAAACTTTTTTTTAGGCTTGGTCAGTTAACTTGACCTAGTGACCTGACCTGACATGACCTGGGGTCAAAAATTTCACACATTGTCCAAAATTGATGTACCAAAAGCTACCCCAAGCGGCGCGGCGCTACGCGCCGCGGTTTTTTATTTATACGAAAAAAAACGCGACAGGGTGGTAACATATGCCCCCCCCCCACTGGGGCGAAGGTTAAGTTCAGCATTGTGTTGTCTACGATTAGACAGCTGATAACTCATTCCCGTACGTCGTAACTCTATAATGACCTTTGCTTATTGTCACATGTGCGCCGCATTCACGATTGTTGCCGACGCCTGTTTGCAAGTCAGCCCATTACAGTTGTTATACATATCGAAAAAACCGATAAACTTTTAGGCGAAAAAAGCACTATTCCAGGCCCATTTTTGATTTTTTTGCGATATTAGGTAAAAACAGAAGCTTCGTATGCTAGAAAAAAAAATAAAATGGGAAATCATTGGAAGGTGGCACACTCCCTTTAAGTGCTGTGGTTTGAAGCACAAAAGTGATAGAACGAAGCGGATATCTCCAGTATTTCCGCATTTGGATATTTTTCCATAGGCTTAAAATTGCGACGTGATGACCTCTAACTGACCTCAGGTCAGTGACATAAAAAAATGAACTATATGTTATACAACTTGGTGAACTTAACACATCCTGCAACTTTAAAGGAAATCAGTCCAAAGCTGTGAGTTGGACAGACCTGCATAAAGAAAATTGAAATTTGACCATGACCTTGTACCGGTTTTACTGACCTGGTGACCTGACCCAAGGTCACCCGGACCTGAAATTTTCAGTTCATATGTGAAAAGGCTGCCCTATAGGCTGTGTCAAATTTGGCGGCGCTGCACCGCCGTTTTTACGCTATCTTCGAAAAACCTTAGGGGAGGTTGCATCAACACCATCCTTCCAGGGCGAGGGCAGGGCAAATGGTACGATGATGTTTTCAGCCTCAAGCCTGCCCTTGATCCTATGAAGCACCAGATGGATATCTTCGGTTTGTGCTGCTCCCTGATGTGACTCGCGAGGTCGGCTGCTGAGTGCTGGTGTTACAGGCCAGCCCATGCTGCCCTCGGGTGGGCACACCGTTTGGTAGGCAACAGCCCTGTACTGCCCCCTGCAGGACCTTTGCTGAAAAGGCTTGATGTTCAGCCCTCTGGCGGGCTCTTGCTGAACTTAGCTGTTCTGTGCTGCACCCTAGCGGATACCTGACCGGACTAGAGAGACGCTCCGTTGTCCTACTCTCTACGGCCTAAGTCTTCGAGGTTATCACTAGTCAGCCTAAAACGAACGTCAACCAGCGATTATAGATGAGTTTGTCTGCTGAGAGCGTCAGCTTAACCCCTTTCGCTTGCCAATCTGTTCATTTAGGAGCATTGATTTTAACGGCTTTCCCGTTACCACGCTGAACAGTCTGCTCCTGCTCCAAATAACCCAGTCCCACTCACTGCTCGAAACATCTGCACACTTCTCCAACCAGCTCGTCACAACTCCAACCAGCTCGTCACAACTCCAGCCAGCCCTGTTACAACTCCAACCAGCCCTGTTACAACTCCAACCAGCCCTGTTACAACTCCAACCAGCCCTGTTACAACTCCAACCAGCCCGTCACCGCTCCAGCCAGCTCATGACCGCTCCGACCAGCAATTTTACCGCTCCTACAAGTTCAAGCTGTATGTCATCCCCGTCATCGCTGTATGAGCCGCTCCCGACCGTCACCGCTCCAAACAGCCCCTGACATTGGACAGCCCCGTGTATTTCGCGCCGGGTTCACATCGTCGGCCCGCACAGCCGCCCGGTCACACCATATGATCGGCGCGGCGGCCTCAGCCCCAGAGTCGGATCCCAGCTCCTCAGGACGCTCGCGCTCGCCAGGGCCGCCCGCCCCGCCGCCTCTTTCTCGCCGACCCTGGCAGGGCCTCGCTCACCCGACCATATCCGGTACAGCCTTGTATTTTCAATGAAAATATATAATGTACAACGTACGCATTTAAATTACAACACAGTGGCACACCAACAGATCACAGACATGGAACAAATATAGGAAACGACATGACCGGCAGTCGGTACCCCTGGCGCAGTTCGGGCGACAGCCGCTAGATGTCTCTGTCTGTGGCTCGGTAGATGGCGCTCGTACAGACGGCGGGACGCACACATCGGGAGGACCATTCAGACAGCAGGCAGGGTGAGAGCGAGTTGGCACGGGCTCGTGCACAGTGACGAGCATGACAGCGAACAGCGAGCGGGGTCGGCGGCTCGAGGCCGCGGGGGGGGGGGTCGGACTCGGCCGGCGGTGGACTCCGCTCCGACCTCGACCACACAGAAACCAGCGCGGCGGGGTCGGCCACACAGCGGACTAGGCCGTTCATGCACACAGGGGAGGGGGACGCAAACCGAACAGGGGGACAACAGAGACGGGACGGGACGGCCGGCGGAAGGGGTGGCGCCGCCGACCGGTCGCGGCAGGTCGTGCCGCGGCTGATCGCTTTGTTGACACGCAGCCCACCGATGCCGTTGCGCAATGAGTTCACAGAACGCAGTGGGATCCCCACGCCCAGCTGGTCGGTCCGGCGGAGGTGGGGTCCGCTGGCAGAGCCACGGTCGGCGAGTGCCGTGGGCCCGGCTGAGTGACGTGGTGAGGACAGGGCAGGGACGGGACGCGGGACCGAGAGGCGCCGGGCCACCCAGCGCCCCCGGCGCCCGCCCGGGGGACTCAGGAGGTCGGGTGGTCGGTGAGGGGGTGGCCCCCGTCGTCTGGCTCTCGGGGCGGCCGCCGTCCGCCCCTGAACACATGGTATCACACGGAGGGCGCACAGCGCCGCCGCCGGCGCCCACTACGAGTTGCAGTAGGACTGCAGCACCGATATGGAGCAGGCGTTGAAGCAGCACTCGTACACGATGCCCTGCCGTTTGACGCGGAAGCGGTCCGGGCCGCCCGGGTGGATGGAGCGCGACTCCCTCTGCAGTGGGTCCATGTGCTCCAGCAGCCGCGCCCGGCTGCCGAACGGCGGCACCTCCAGCGCGCGCGCCAACGCGCCCAGCCCGTTAGCGCGCCGCTCTTCAGCGTAGTCGGGCGTGTTCCCTGTGGACAGGGGAGGGGAGGGCGCGGTCAGAGTGGCTCCGCTGGACCCATCGACAGGCGGTGGTATGTAGTTGAATGTATGCAATGCATGTGATTGGTATGTGGGCATGTGGGTTGAACTGTGTCCCATAGGGGACTCGGTGCAGCCGCGATTGGCAGTTCAGTGGGTGCTGACGAGGATGGCTGTCTTTGCTCATCCGATGACCAGGCAGTAAAAGGACAGGGATCAGAACAGTAGCTGCCATGTGTCAGTTGCCAGTCACATGTTATCACCTAAAGCAAACAGTGGTTATGCGATAGTTGATAGTTTTCTGAGCAAAAACTACGTGCGTCATAGAAAATGGATAAATATTTGCTAAAAACCCAGCACGCCCCCTAAAACGTAGTTGACGACAGAAAAAAGAGGCCGCAAACAGCTTATTATTTAGTTTCAAATCATGAATTCTGGTACATATCAGTGTCAGTTGACCGAGGCGTCAACATTCCAGCTCATAAACAGGCGTTCAGACGAGACCTTGTCGTTTTCCAGCTAGAAAACAGATCACTGCAGGAGTGATCAGCTTGATACCTCGAGGCTTGTTGCCCACAGCTCACGGGCGAGTGCGCGCGTATCGCTCAATGTAAACACAGGGCCACGCCTGCTGAACGCCTGCAGTTACCTAAATCGGGGCCACCTAGCCATGCAGCCGCTGGCGTTACCGTTATGCCGCGGCGCACTGACCTGGCATTACGGCGCACTGATCTCATCACGGCGCACTGACCCGATAGTGGCGCTCTGCAGCGCAGTTTCGACTCCACCTCCGGGAAACTCGATCCCGCCCATATTTGAGGCCGCCGCGCGGCTGGTAGCCGGGCCCGACGAGCGGGCTGTAGCCGCCAATGGTTTATCGCATTCGTCGACGCTTGACAACAGCGGACTTGGATAATTGAGAGCGCTGGTTTCAGCATTAGTACACTGCTCGGTGGTCCGGAAGGCGACCATCATCCTGTTGGGGTGGCGGCAGCGAGCGCGGCGAGCCGCCAAATCGCGGGGCGACTCGCCCGGCGCGCGAGGAGGGTGGGGCTCTCCCCGTCACGCCGCGGGAGTGGGAGTGGGACTGACGGCAACACTCGCGCTGGAGAGGGTATGAGTTGATTCTACACCGATTTATCTTCATAAACCAATGTTGGGGAAGAGGGTGTTAGGGCACCCGGACTGCGGTGGTCATCGGCGATAAATCGATGTGATGATAGACCACTGAGGAGAGACTACCATGTACCGACACTCAACAGTCACCCGGCGAAGTTGGCCCGATGCCGCATCTATCACGGGTAACCGTCAACTCTCAAGCATGTCCTTGCCCAGCCACCGGAGATCTGAACGCATGTAACTCGGGACAATATCCGACGGTCCCTAGTGACCTTGTATCGCCTGCTGAACGAAACTGAGTCTACACATTAGCATTGGTCTAACACTACAACCGACGTTTCTCGTCTCGTGCCAGCTCAAGTCCCATCCCATCCCATCCCATCCCGTCCCGTCTCGTCCCGTCCCATCCCATCCCGTCCCGTCTCGCCCGTCTACCAACCTGGATGGTTGGCCCGCTTGCCGACGCTGCTGACGCCACAGACCAGCTCTAGCATACTGGCCAGGTGGCTGCCACAGTAGTGGCTGGACGAGCTGCGCCGTAGTCGGGTCAGCAGGGGTCGCGCTGACCTGGAGGGCGCCGGCTGACTGACACAGCAGCCCGCAGCCAGGAGCAGCAGCGCGGCGGCACGCAGACGAGGGGACGCCATCTGAGGGTGACATGGCGGTCAGGGGGTCACTCAGGGTCAGCAGGCCACACACGGGGACAACAGGTCACACGAGGAGACGACGGGTCACAACAGGAGACGACGGGTCACACCAGGGGTCAATGGATCACATAGAGACCAACGGGTTACAAAGCAAGCCAACAAGTCACAATAGAGGCTAACACATCACGCTGTGGGCTAACAAGTCGTGCTAGGAACTTCCAGGTCACAAAAAAGGCCAAACGCTTAAACGGGGTCTCACTCAGCATATCGCCAGCAACTCAAACAGAAATTTAACAGGTCAGACAAAGAGGCGATTGGCGACGCAGGGGCCACCGATAACCGATCCATATGCGGGGAAATTGACAAGTCAGCTGGGTGCTGGCTGGTCACATCTGAGGAAACACGGTAAATAAGCGGTAGAATATTACATAGAACGTTATTATGAAAATAATAATGCCGGAGGTTTTTACGACGGATCTCAGTTATATCAAGTTCTTGTAATTTTTCTCGTTTTTTTTTCTCATCAAGCCATGACACGCCATGACTTTCGAATAAATATTAGCAGCTTCTGAGCCCTCGAACGATTAGGTAAACGTTCTCTTCTCCGAATAGGCTTTGTTATGCTCCATCGACGAACCACTGGTGTGAGCGACCTTCGGCCAGAGTTGGGTGTTTGTCCCTTTTCTCGAAATTGGGAGCAGCCGTGCGCCGCCGCCGCGTTCCGTCGAGGTCGCCCGTTCGTTAGTGCCCGTATAGCTACAGAGGTGGTCGGTGCCGCGGCCTGCTGAGAAAAGACGCCGTTCTGCGGCGCTACACTGCTATGGTCTAGTGCAGTCGCCGCCCCGTCTCAGAACTGGCCGGGTCGGGCCGCGCCCGGTCTCGACAGCTCCGGCGCCACCGCGCCCGAGTCCCAGCCGTCGTCAGGGGTGGGCCGTCCTGGTCCCGGCGGTCGGTGCTCACTGCTCAGTCCATCTCAGCTGCGTCTGCAGAGACTGAGCGGGGCTCTGCCTGGCCTGCAGCGACTGGCCTACTTTCTTTGTTGTCTGGGTGGCCGTTACCGGGCACCGGTGACCGCCGGGCGGGCCGAGCACCGATTAATTCGGCCGATCACTCACAGACGCGCGCCGGAGGAGCCGGCCAGCCCGATTGCATCGTCCGTCCCAAGACCCGGCCCTGGCCCGTCCGGAGCACGACGAGCGGTGCGGACGTCCGCCCTCGCCCCCGCTCCCGCCCCCGCCCCCGCCCCCGCCCGCCGGTCCGGGACGGGGGCGGGGCGGAGATGTTCGACGGAACCAGACGACTGACGGGCACCGAGACTCCTCCGTGATCTATGGTCCGCAGACGGAGCGTGGAGGGCCGACAGAGCGTCAGTCGCGAGCCGCAGACGAATGATACCAGAAAGGGCGCCGAGCTATTTTGGAAGTCAATAGGTACTCGAGGGAGAGAAACTATCTTCCCTATTTGGTAAAGCATTTCTAACTTTAGAGATGAACTTCTTTGAGCGAGCGGTGTTAGCTGGATAAAATGAAACGTTCCTAGGTAAATTCAACTCCGCAAAGTACCCGGTTTGTGAAGTGCTGTGAGTGATATCTCAGAGCAGTGAGTGACGAATACGTTTGCTTTTAGATAAACGGTCTTTAAATGACAGACTAAGCTATCAAGCAGATTGTATGTTGAATCATCAGTAACTAACTTTGGTAAGTACGCGAAGTAGCTAACTAAAGCACAACTGTAGTTGCCACTTGCCACCGGGTGTTTGATTCTTAATTTATTTACAAGTAATTATGCTTTCCATATTTCGTTTTAGTGCCGTTTTAACGAGATTGAATTGCTGCTATTGCTGCCATTACAAGCGTGCATTCCGTGCAGCAGTCATGCATTATATAATTGGACTATACATACATGTGAGCTCAATTAAAATAAAATGAAAGGAATCATTTCATCATTTGGCCTAGAAAACTTAATCGTTTTATTTGCGGTCAACGAACAACGCAGTTAAGTTACGTTTGTTTGCGTACTTACAAAGGCCTATGAGCTGGTTTCGCAACCTTCCAATAAAGTAATTTGTATTGAATAAGGAAATTTGTATGGATGAACTTGCAATCGTCCAATGCATTTACTCTGTGGATTTCAATCATCTGGTTCCGGAGGCAAGGTCACAACCTCAGGTCAAAGTATGAGTACTTACTTATTGGTATTGCACCTTCTCATTTTTGTGGAATGAGATACCGGGCTGCTCGAATTTCATCGACTTCATCACATCGTCCAAGTCAAAATAAATAAATCGATTCAATCTTAACCCTCGCATGTGTGCGACGTTTGCCAGCTTCTAATGTGTAGGGGGGTCGGTTGGAACCCCCCCCCCCTTGCCGTTTGGCCCCTGATCGAGCTAGAGCTTCGCGGAAAAAAAAAACGAGCGTGTTGCCCGTGACGAGAGGAAGCCGATGATGCCCAATTTTAAGGTCCTAGGTCATTGGGTGACCTTCCAGGTCAGGTCAATGACCCAAAGTCGGGAAAATCGGGACCTGTTAGAAAGTCGTAAAGTGTGGCTGCTAAGGGGTTTTCGGGGTGCTGATCACGAATATCGTGTTAGTTTTGACCACAGATGATGTCTTTAAGCATTTAGACCAGGTCGGGTCAGGTCAGGTCAGGTCAACTAGTAGGCATCGTGACGGGTATTCGTAGTACGTGTCAACCGCCTCTGACAGCTTCGTAACATGTTACGAAGGCACCAAAACTACTTCTTAAATGTTCAAATGGTTGCTAAATTCGAATTCAGCTCCAAAAACTAGCCTAGAAACATGTACAGTTCGAAAAAGTGAACCGAGGTCACCCGAGGTCACCAAAGGTCAATGACCTGACCTGACCTTCAGGTGACCTTGACACCCACCCTAATGCATGGAAGCAACATCAAATCACATGTTTGAACGTTTGAAACCACGAAAAGCTTGCAAACGCGCGGCTAATGCGAGCCGACATACGCAGAATCGCGATTCCGGCCAAACATGGTCTCGGAAAAGAGGTCACAGGTCAAAGGTCATTTGGGTCAGGGTCATGAAATTTTAAGGGTAGGTGTAAAATTGATCAATGTGAGGGTACTGAAAGTTTCGTTGCGATCGGCCGCTTTTTACGAGAGTTATTCGCGAAAAACCATGGGGGGTCCATTCAACCCCCCCCCCTACACATGCGCTAGGGTTAAGCCTGCAAAAATCACCTGCCATTACCGGCTTTAGCGTTTAAAAGTAATGATTAAATTCAAAATGTATCACTTTATCGATATTTCTGAACTTCAAGAACCGCGAACTTCATCTCAGGTAGGGCCGGTGTGTGCCTTCCCTGTCTCCAATCGTTCTGGGTACGACATGTGAACTGGGCTCAGCAGAGTCAGTTTGCCGATCAGTGACCAGCTCGACAGTGGGCTGTTTTCACCATCAGTAGGGGGCGGTCAGAGAAAGGCCACTCAGTTGATCGGAAGGGAGGCTGACAATAATACCGTCATGTGACTGCTGCACTTGGTTACCGTCACAGGAAGGTAGCGTGTTAACTGAGGTCATCGCATCTGACCCCTCCATCTATAAACTGCAGTTTATAAATGGAGGTTTATAGATGGAGGTTTATAGCTTTTCACAACTCTGATAAACTACTTCGCTGGCTTACGGTGCCATAAAAATGATAACAACGATAAGTAACCAATAATTGTGTCGAGAACGCAATTGTGATAGAATGTTGGTAAAAATCGGAACGCGTCAGCATTCGCTTAGAACTGAAAATTATTTGCCAAACAGCATAACCGTCTTATGCCTATCTATGCTTCTCGGCTTACATGTACAGGTCTCGCGGGTTTTAGCGGTAGGTTTTGCACCTAGAAAATTTAGTTTACTTCAGGCTATATCTCCGTCGTCTTAAGCTTTTAAGTGTTGAAGATGCGATCGACTTGTTGGGTAACAAGCCGGCCATGATCGTGTAAAATGGCTTCATCGTAAATCGATTAGTTTCTGAGATATAACCGGAAATGTAAAAGTGCAAAACCTACCGCTTAATCTCGCGAGACCTGTACAGTCCTCAGCAGACTGCGTGGTAGGTATTCTTTTTTTCGACAAAACCAGTAATAACTCAAAGACTACACCTAACCTAACCTATGTTGTCAGTCGGTCGGAACTCACTGAAAATAGAGGCGCCATGCTCTACTCCTTCGATTGGGTATATCACTAAACAAAGTATATGCCTTGTGTGGCAACAAAATGCAAAAGTTTGTTTTGGGGGCAAATATAAACTTTTGGGTTTTGTTGCCAAGCTGGGTGGAAAATGAATGCAATGGATATGCCAATCTAAGGTGAGGAGTCTCGCGCGTCTTGCTGTTATGATTTCCGAGCGACCGATAGCATAGTATCCGCGTTATTCTCGGTTTTGTCGAAGAAAGAATACCTACCACGCAGTTTGCAGAGGGCTGTACAGCAAAGCGGCATTGGTAATTTCAACAACGTTGATGCGTTCTCGGTGTTCTGTTGGCTTTATCTATTTTGGTAAATCATTTGCACTTATGTACTTAGGTATGCATTAGAAGTTTCATGCATAAAAGTTGTAGATGAAATGTCGTTGATGCTATGTAAATGCGAACGAATAACTTTTCTCAGTGATGTAGCAGTGTTAGCTATCTAAGATCTAGAAATCTAACGACTCTATTCCTAGCAATCGTTAGTACCCGAATCTTCCGCAGCCTAATTAGTATCAAACCTCTTCACACCCTTTCGACTGTCTGTCAGGCTGGCAAACAGGCTTGTTGAGAGTGGCTGCCGGCCCAGATTGGCGTTCCATTGAGTGGCGCGGTCCCACAGGGGCGTCTCAAAGCCGAGGTGCGAGGCCTTGAGCGGCAATGACGCCCACCGTCTCCGCACGCCTCATACAGCAACTCTGTGGCGCAGCCGCTACATTCACCGGCAAATAGATTGGATGCAAGTCTTGAGTACAAAGCTCTCAAACTTCATTGTGGCTATTGTGCC